AGATAGTGTCTCAGTTTGTTGCCCTCGGTAGAGCGCCATGGCTCACAGCTCACAGCAACCTCCACCTCTTGGACTTAGGCAGTTCTCTTGCCTCAGCCTCCCGAGTAGCTGGGACTACAGGCGCCTGCCACAATGCCCAGCTATTTTTGTCCTTGCAGGTTCAAGCCTGCCACCCTCAGTATATGGGGCTGGCGCCTTACTCACTGAGCCACAGGCGCTGTCCAAATTTTTGGGTTTTTATTTTATTAGATTTAGGGGTACAAGTGGTTTTTTGTTACATAGGTAACTTTTAGTGTCCCCATTACCTGAATGGTATACATTGTACTTGATAAGTAATTTGTGGTCCCTCACTTACCTCCCACCCACCAGCATAAGGATTTAAGTTTGTGCAGCCTCCTAGGACCTGAACAGGGGGTGGTTGTGGGTTTTGTAGCCCATAGGCCTGCTTCCTGTTCCTTTGGGTGTATCTGAGGAGCACATCAAATGGCATTTCCCAGGGCCCCCTCTTCAGGGGCTGTTTTAATGCAAGGCCTGGGAATCTGCATGGTAGACCCTCTAAGGGGAGGCTCTGCACTCAGGGGACTCTGGCCATGTGGCCCTGAGCGTGGCTCCAGCGTGAACAGTGAAGGCACAAGCAGGGGTTCTTTTTTGTGTCTTGGTAGAATAGATACAGTGCTGGCAGGTGATACTTGCCGAGCCCTGGGGCCCAAGGCCAGCTCAGGGAGGTTCCAGGGTGGAGGTATAGCCTCCTGTGCACCCTGAGGGAGTTGAGGTCAGTTTTTCTCCCTCCCAGTGTCTGAGGAGGCTACAGGTAGGGAGCTCTGGGTTGGCCTCACTTGTTCCGCCATGTGGCTAGGGTGGTTCATGACTCTGGAGATGGGTGTGGGTTGGCTGTCTTTAGCAGAGGTTCTTGGGAGACAGGCAGGGTTGGACCTCGAGAGTCCTTACTGAGGAGGGGAATGTTGGAGAGCTGGGGATATGAGAGATGAAGGGCAGGGGTCATCCCTGCTGCCCAACTGTAGGCTCATGCTGCAGAACCAGATGCATCTTTGTGATGTAGATGGTCAGACTCTAATAGCCTCATGTGTCTGCCTCCTGTGGCCCGGGTGTCCCTGAGGTGGTGGCCACAGGAGCCTCTGAGATCAGGTAGCTATGGCCCAGGCTTAAGGTCTGTCCAGTCTGAAGGCATAGCATCTATTGCTATCTACTCTGTGAAGTGAAGGCTGAAGCACATTCTGCCCGCCGGGGCTCAAAGCTGTAGTGGATGTGCTCAAGATCCTCCTTGGTGACTCTTTGGGTCACAGGAAGCCCTGGAGGGTAGAGGGTAGACTAGGGCTGAGCCAGTGGAGCCAGCCAGCCCACCCTATGGTCTCTCAAGCAGCCTTTGCACCAGGAGGGAGCCCTAGACCGCGGGGAGCCATGACATACCCAGCCTGGCCCTCAAGCCCTTGTGGCCTAGGTGCCTGCTATGCTGTGATATGCTCCAGCCAGCCCTGCTGGGAATTGGTACCACTGTACAGCCAGAGACAGTGGAAGTGCAAGGCTATTCCCAGCAGCCTAGGTGTACCTAGTGGGAGGCGGGCACAGAACACAGCCAGGATCCAAAGTGCCTCTCACTGGTGCTTCTCACTGGCACCTCTTGGTTCCTTTCTATCACTCACCTCTCTACTCTTCCTTCTGAGGTTGCACTGAGCGTTTGAGCTGTGTTGGGATGTAGGATGTACATGCTGGGGGCAGTGGTCAGAGGCACCATCCTTCTAGGAGAAGAGGCAGTCTTCTCCTAGAGCCTGGGCTTCAGAGTGGGGCTGAGACAGGCTGAGTGACCCTCCCTTACTCGCTCACCCTTTTTTCTGTTGAAGATTTTTTAAAAAATCAGCAGGGCACAGTGGCTCACACCTGTAATCCCAGCAATTTGGGAGGCCAATTTGAGAGCATTGCTTAAAGCCAGAAGTTCAAGACTAGCCTGGGCAACTTAGCAAGACCCTGTCTCTACAAAAAATTAGCTGGGTGCAATATCCTGTGCCTGTAGTTTCAGCTACTCAGGAAGCTAAAGTGGGAGGGATCACTTGAGCCCAGGAGTTCAAGGTTGCAGTGAACTATCATGATGCTACTGCATTCTATCCTGGGTGACAGAGCAAGATCCTGTCTCTTAAAAAAAAAAAAAAAATCTCTATTGAGATGCCTACTAATACAACTCACCCGTTTACAGCCCACAGTTCAGTAGCACATTCATACTGTTACTTAACCACCACCTTTATCTAATTCCAAAACATTCCATCACCCCAAAGGGAAGCCCTGTCCACGTCAATAGTTATTCTCCAGCCTCTGACAACTATGAATCCATGCCCTGTTTCAGTGGATCTGCCTATTCTGGACATTTCACGTAAATGGAGTCACATACTGTGTGTCCTTCTGTGTCTGAGTTCTCTAGCTGAGCATAATGTCTTCAAGGTCCTTTCGTATTGTGGCCTATGACAGAGCCTCATTTCTTTTCATGGCTGAGTGATAGTCCAGTGTGTGGACATAGTGTATGTTCATCTGTCCATGGACACTTCGGTTGTTTCCACCTTTGACTGTTGTAACTGGTGCCTCTGTAAACATCCATATACAGGTTTGTGTATGATCATACTTTGATTCTCTTGCTTGTGTGCCTGAGAGTAGAATTGCTGGATGCCTACCAGAAACATTTGTGTTTAACCTTTGGAGGAATAGCTGGATGTTTTCTGTGTTCACCTGCTGCTGGTCATTTTGTTTAAAGAAAGGAAGTATCTTTTGTCAGCGCAGCTGGCCACAAAGTGGGCAGTACTGTGTGGCCTGCTGGGTCTTGGACACTGACCCTTGTTACAGGTGGCAGGTGCTTTTTCTTTCTCCCATATCCTTTCCCAGAGGTTGTCTCTCCAGCTCTGCAGCTCTCCTAGGTGCTCCTGGGAGCATGGCCTATAGAGGAGTCAGGCAGGAGGGATCCTGGGAAGATGTATAGGCGGGGCTTGTACAGCCTGGCTGAGCTGTGTGGGGGACCCATCTAGGGTCCCCACCTAGCCCTAGCTCCTGTACACACACAGTAGGCACTCTACTTGCACTGTCATTGCAGTAGTCTCATCGTCACAAAGAAACTGTTCTTTGGGTAGCACCAGTAGCTCAGTGGTCAAGGTGCCAGCCATGTGCTCCAGGGTTGGTGGGTTCAAACCCGACCTGGGCCTGCAAGCAACAACAGCAAAAAAATGTCTGAGTGTTGTGGCGGGCACCTGTAGTCCCACCTACTTGGGAGGCTGAGGCAAAAAAATCGCTTAAGCCAAGAGTTTGAGGTTGCTGTGAATTGTGGCACTAGGGCACTCTACTGAGGGCAACAAAGTGAGACTCTATCTCAAAAAAAAAAAAAAAAAAAAGAAAGAAACTGTTTGTCAACTAAAGACCATGAAGAGGGCTCAGTGCCCATAGCACAGTGGTTAAGGCATCAGCCACATATACCGAGGCTGGCGGGTTTGAACCCAGCCCAGGTCAGCTAAACAACGACAGCTGTAACAAAAAATAGCTGGGCATTGTGGTGGGTGCCTGTAGTCTTAGCTACTTGGGAGGCTGAGGCAAAAGAATCACTTAAGCCCAAGAGTTTGAGGTTGCTGTGAGCTGGGATGGCATGGCACTCTACTGAGGGTGACATAGTGAGACTGTGAGACTCTGAGACTCTGTCTCAAAAAAAAAAAAAAAAAAAAAAAAACAAGAAGAGTATCTAGATTGTTTCTCTCCAAAGCCCTCCTGGGCCACAGGCAGAAGGAAGATGCTGCTTGCCTGGCAGAGCTGTCCACTCTGTTGCAACCCTTCCTAGTTCTCCTCATGCCTACTAATACACTGGCCTTGGCCTAGGAACTGTAAACTGATTGCTTCTTTCCCAGTGGAGGGAGCAGAGGTGCTGGGTAGATGGGGAGTCCTGTGTCCTGGGGGCAGTCCTGGTGTGGAGGCCAGGCCTTGGGGCCATTGTCACTGACATGGGGGTTCTACTGACACCACTGTCCTCTCTTTTCCAGGGAAATTCAACTACTGAGGAGGCTACGGCACAAAAATGTTATTCAACTGGTAGATGTGTTGTACAACGAGGAGAAGCAGAAAATATATCCTTCCTGTGTCTGCTGAGTGGCCCTGGCTTCAGGGCCTCTGTGGAACACAGGGGCAGCGGCCATCCCCTCAGTTCCTCCAAAATGGGTGATTACTCTGGGCGCAGTGGCTCATGCCTGTAATCCCAGCACTTGGGAGGCCAAGGTAGGTGGATTGCCTAAGCTCACGAGTTCGAGACCAACCTGAGCAAGAGCAAGACCCCATCTCTAAAAAATAGCGGAGCACTGTAGCAGACACCTGTAATCCCAGCTATCTGAGAGGCTGAAGTAAGAGAATCACTTGAGCCCCAGAGTTTGAAGTTGCTGTGAACTCAGATGGCATGGCACTCTACTAAGTGAGACTGTCTCCAAAAAAAAAAAAAAAAAGAAAAGAAAAGAAATGGGTAGTGGGTGGCGTCTGTGGGTCAGTGGGTAGAGCATTGGCCCCATACATTGAGGGTGGCGGGTTCAAACCCAGCCCCTGCCAAACTGCAACAAAAAATAGCTGGGTGTTGTGGTGGGTGCCTATAGTTCCAGCTACTTGGAAGGCTGAGGGAAGAGAATCACCTAAGCCCAGGAGTTGGAGGTTGGTGTGAGCTGTAATGCCATGGCACTCTACTGAGGGCAGTAAAGTAAAACTCTGTCTCTAAAAAAAAAAAAAAGAAAGAAAAGAAATGGGTGATTACAGCAGTTGTGCAGCTGGAAAGCTGTGTCCCTGGCATTAGCGCTGGGGTTTTTGGGTATATATATGCCCATGTCATAGGCATGATGGACCTGGGCAGCCTCATTGTGTAGCCCATGCTATCCCAAGCCCTCCTCCCTGGTGTTCTTGGCCTTTTTTCACCAACTTAGCCACTGCAAGCCAGGCTCCCCATAAAAGGCCTGCAGGCAGGTGGGTGGTTTCCTTAGCACCTCACGTATATGGTGATGGAGTACTGCGTGTGCGGCATGCAGGAGATGCTGGACAGTGTGCCCGAGAAGCGCTTCCCTGTGTGCCAGGCCCATGGGTAAGTTCTGGGGTGGCCTATGTTCAGATGAAAGCGCAAGTGTTTTGACAGAGAGTTTGTGGGCCCTAGTTTGCAGTGTACATTGCTAAGCTGCTCCAGAGCCACTTGCTGTGGCCCCTATTGCTTGAGACAAAGACTCCTCCCCAGTAAGCCCTGATAGCTCCTTGGCCTGATGGACCTCCCATGGGCAGCCCTGGTCTGGTGGCAGCAGAGCCTGACCCTTCATTGCTGCAAGGCTGTGGGGGCAAGAAGGGCCTCTGTGGTCTAGCAACAATTTGGGGTGCAGTTAGCCTGTGGGTAGAAGGGGGAAGCAAGAGCAGCAGGTGAGCCAGGAGTCCTTGAGCGACCTTGACCCTGTGGGGCCTAGGTGGACCTTTCTTGTTTATTTGAATTATAGAAGTTGTTAGCCTCAGGAGTCCTTAGGAGGGAACTCTGTGAGGTTTAGGGCAACCCAGGGTCAGACCAGCAGCTAAAGGGTGTGGGCCCGAGGTCATGTCCACATCCCCACAGGTACTTCTGCCAGCTCATTGATGGCCTGGAGTACCTGCATAGCCAGGGTATTGTGCACAAGGACATTAAGCCAGGCAACCTGCTGCTTACCACCAGTGGCACTCTCAAGATATCTGACCTGGGTGTGGCTGAGGTAGGTGCTACTGCCCACAAGGGTAGGGGGTGGTGGTCCTGGGCATCCTGTGACTGCTGCATGGTACTGTGCAGGCTCTGCACCCATTTGCTGTGGATGACACTTGCCGGACCAGCCAGGGCTCCCCAGCATTTCAGCCACCTGAGATTGCCAACGGTCTAGACACCTTCTCAGGCTTCAAGGTGGACATCTGGTCGGCAGGGGTCACACTGTAAGTGCCCTGGACCTCAGCCAAAACCCAGTGTGCATTAGCATGCACAGCATTCATGATCTGTTTCTCTAGTCTAGGCCATGCAAGTCCCATCGGGCGCAGGGTTTGGCCAGGAGTCCAGAACCTCCCTTTGCCCAGCTCTTCCTCGAGGCAGCCATAGGATAGGAAATAAGTCACGTGCCAAATGATTTACCCTTTAATTTACCCTTTTAAAGGGCATTGTAACTCAGGTGTTGGGACATCTACAGAGTAGCAAAGACAGCCTCAGAGCCTCTTTTACTGGGTGAATTCAGGCCACACCACCCCCCCACCTCCCATTCTCTCCTTGGGGTGAGTTCCTGCCCCTACTAGCATGAAGTAACTCTGTGGGAGCCCACACAGAGTTTTTCTCTGATGGCCATGTGTCCGGGGCTCCATCCCTGAGGCCCAAGCCAGGGCTTCAAGGGTGCCACAACCCCTGACACACCTCTTCTCCTTCCCCTGGAAACGAAGCTACAACATCACCACGGGCCTGTATCCATTCGAAGGCGACAACATCTACAAACTGTTTGAGAACATCGGGAAGGGGAGCTATGCCATCCCAGGCGACTGTGGTCCCCCACTCTCTGACCTGCTGAAAGGTGAGGGTCTAGACCCCAGTGGGGCATGGAGGGTGGCCAGCCCTTCTAACCCAGGAAGGCCTAGTTTGTTCATTCCTTTGCACTCCTCTGCCTGCTTTTGGGTCCTTTGTTCACCTTATTTGAAGCCCACACCCTCAGGGGAGCTGGACAAGGTCTGCCAGACCTCTGCCTGCTGTTTCTTTGGTGGGCAGCAGGTGGCACTAGCCGCCTGCCCTCTGTTTGCAGCTGCTCTTCACTCCTCATCTGTGCCTGCTTGGGCTGTCCCTGGTGTCCGTTCCTGCCCTTGCCTGGAAGTAGCTGAGGCACATATGCAGCCTGTTGAGCTCCATATGTGGCCATCTAGAATGTGGGACACGTGCAGGCTTGGCAGGTTGACACATACCTGGGTATCCACTTGTCATCTTGGGCAGGGGAGGGGAGGGGGGCCTCATGGGCAGGTAGGCAGATGGGAGTAGTTGGTAATAGGGCCTTGGGGGCTGTGTGTCAGCACTAACTAGGTCCTGCTGACTTCTTCCCAGGCATGCTTGAGTATGAGCCCACGAAGAGGTTCTCCATACGGCAGATCCGGCAGCACAGGTGAGCAGTCTGACCCTATGGGCACATGACAGCAGGGGCCTTGCCTCTCTTGTTCCTCTGACTCTGGGGCCCCGTGAGGCCAGCCAGGTAGATGTCTGGGTTGAGTAGATGCCAGAACAGGGGTCTAATGGAGATGCCAGGTGGGCGCAGTGGACCAAAATATGCCATCCCCAGTTCCTCTCTGGTCTCTGACCAGGTGCATGGCTATGGTTCTATAGGGGCAGAATGGGGTCTGTGGACAGTACCCTTTTGACCTGAGCCCAGGGTGTAGGGATACACCAAGGAGAGGTGGCTAGCCTCTTGTATGGGCCTCACTACTTCCCTTCCTCCTAGGCCCTCCTGGCAACACTGTGTGCCCAGGGTGCTGCCTCCCTACCCCAGCCCAGGGGCCCAGGGCACCATTGATCTTGCATCTGGGCTACCTGATCCAAGGCAGCCATCATAGCAAAGGGGCCCAGGAAGCACAGTAAGCAGGGTGGCCATCCCCTGGCAGCTCTCTGGGCTGGGTTGTAGCCACCGAAGCTCCTCCTTGCCCTCACTGACTCCTGGCGAGGCAGTGGGCCAGGCTGAATAGGCCCAAGGATCATGCTGGCTATGTCAAAGCTGTTGGAGAAAGCAGCAGGGGGCTACCATACAGCTGAGCCCCCCTGGGTCTCAGCCCTTTCTGACAGCTGATATGTCAGGGCAGTACAGACCTGGGCAACTTGAAGGGTACTCTCCAGGAAGGGGCTGCCTTCATGGCCTACTGCCATCACAGCCAGTGGCCTCTGCATGGGTGAGCTGAGTGGTGGGGCCTCTGGCCCACCATCCTGGTGACCTGCCGGTTCTGGGGAGAATTGTGGCAGACTGGGATGGGAATGGGAGAATCATTTATGGAATATACAGGCCTTCAAAGCATAGCCACAACTGTGTGGTATGGTCATCAGGTCCTGTGCACATGGCAGGGCCCATGGTCACTCAGAAGCTGGGCCCTACCTACCAAGGTCAACATAGACAGCTTCCCATGCCTGTTCTGATGGGCATCACCACTTTTGGGTTTTTGTAGCTGGTTTCGGAAGAAGCACCCACCAGCTGAGGCGCCAGTGCCCATCCCGCCCAGCCCAGACACCAAGGACCGGTGGCGTAGCATGACGGTGGTGCCATACCTAGAAGACCTGCATGGTAGTGCCGAGGACGAGGATGAGGACCTCTTTGACATTGAGGATGACATCATTTATACTCAGGATTTTACAGTGCCCGGTGAGTTGGCAAGGGCTGCCACAGCTGTGGGCTGCACAGAGCCCCTGCCTACCCCACCATATTCACTCAGCCCTGATGTCCTACCAGACCAGAGCACTTGCCTGTGGGCAGGCGGCAGATCTGCTCTTGATAACAGATCCCACTCCCCAAAGTCTCTGCTGAGTTTAGGCTACCCAAGTGAGGGGTCCTCAGGCATCCAGCCCCGGGGCACCCCAACCAGCACCTCTCACCACCTTTCCCTGCCTGGGTTTCATCAAGAGAAAGAGTGTCTGGGATGGGGAGGAAGACAGGGGCTTCTTACTGTTTTTTCCTGGGCCGTAAGAATTGGGGTACAGGGGTGACCCTCCAGATGGCAACCTGAGAGAGGGTCCAGTGGCCCTCCCTCTCTTGATGCTGCCTGTGGCCCTAACTGCCCCCGCCTTGCTTCCCCAGGTGGCGAGGAGGCGTCTGAGGCAGGGCTTAGAGAGGAGCCGGGCACCCAGAGGAGCCAGTGCTCAGACCTTTCTGGAGAGGAAGCCCAGGCGGCCGTCGCCGCCGCAGTGCCTGAGGAGGAGCGCCAGGCCTTAGTGTAGTGGCGCCCACCCCACTGCCCATCCCTTCCTTCCTCAGGCAGCTCAGCCCCTCCCCTCAGCTCCTGGTTTTGTTTGTCCTGTCCCAGGTCGGTTCTTGCAGGTTCTGTCATAAAACTTTGCCTGGCTGTGTGTGTGCAGGTGGATGCTTGCTCCGGCCTGGTCCCCTGCTCAAGGGCCCCAGACAAGGCCACTGGTTGGGAGTTGCTTCTATTTTACTGCAGAGGCCAGTGTGCAGGGCAGGTGGGTAGGGGTGGGAGACTGGGGAGAGTCCCAGGACAGCAGAGGCCCTTGGGAGCCTGGCTCCCCCACCATGTGTGCAGCCAGCCCATCCTGTAGGACGCTGTCCAGCAGCCCAGCAGCACCTGGTCCTCTGTCCCTGCGGGGCCTCCTGTGGGATGTGCAGCCCCAGGTGTTCTGGGACATGAGATGTGCATGGTGGTACCCTTCCCTGGGCCTGTCCACCTTGAGACCCATGAGGCTGGATCAGTGCCTGTTGTCTGACATCCTACTATAGCCCTCGCTGCTGTTTGGCCACGGGTCTGAAGCTTTTTTCCTCTCAGAGCACTGGGGGCCCTGTAACAGGGTGGACTGGCAAGACCTCGACAAGCAGCGGGAGGGAGGGCAAGACCAGCCTGTCACGCCCTGAGAGCCTTTGCTGTACATAGACCCCATAGCCTTGCAGCCCAGGACCCCTGAGCCAAGAGTACCACTAAAGGGCTTAGGGCCTAAGAGAGCCCTGAACTATCCTTCGGAAGAGGCAAAGGCTGGGTTGCCTTTTATGTGACCCCACTGACCCCACCCTAGACCATGGCCGGCAGGAACGGAAGGCCAGCAGGGAGGGTATGAAGGAGGTCCTGGCCCAGCTTGAAGCCTAAGATGCACTTAGGTGGACAGTCCTCTGTCCCACTGTCTTGCTGTCCTGCACAGGCTTTGGGAGTTGCCTGAGCCAAATCTCTTAAGCTGGTAAGGTCCCTTTGTGTCAGAAGCTAGATAGCTCCTCTGGAGGTGACCTTGGCTATGGTGGTGCTTAGGGGTTAGTCACTGGTATAGGGCAGGGTCTCAGATTACCTCAGGCAGAGGTCTGGGGTGGGAAGAGGGGGCAGCACCCTCATGTGTAGGCAAGTCCCAAGGGCTCTGCCAGCTGGTGTGAGGGCCCCCTGGGTCCCTTATCCATTGGGGCAGCACCATCAAATCAGGCCATGGGGCCCCAACAAATTGCTTCAGTGGAGACTGAGCAGCTGTGAGTCCAGACCTGAGAGTGAAGTTGGTGCCTTCTTACTGAAGTGTTTACAGCCAGAGACTTCCTGTGCACACGGAATGTGTGTTGTAGAAACCACTGAGTTAGACATTGGCCCATTTGGGGGGAATGGACTCTGAGTTGGGCTGGAGAGCTGTGGGCAGTTTTCCATTGATTTCTGCCGGGGGGTTGGTTCTGTGGGGTGGGTAAGGGAGGTTGATACAGAATTGGCATTTGTTCCCCCCCTTGACTGACCACAATCAGCTTCTACAGGGGCAGAGGAAGTAGGCTGTTACCTGCTTGCTCCAAGCTCCTTGTGAGGACATGTCCACCTGGACAGGGTGCAGGTCTGCAGCTTATTGGGCAGCTGGCAGGCTGAGCTCCTCCTTATCCCCCTGTGGCCCTGTGCTGGCATCTTATATACCAGCCAGAACCTGGCCCTACTATGTCTTCACCATTGAGTGTGCTGAAGATTCCTCTGCCCCTAGACCCGTGTCCGTGTGCCAGGACGCACAGGGGGTACAGGTCCCCAGCCCACCAGGACAGGCAGGTGAGCGTGGGCCGGGGGCTCGCCCTGGCCAGCTCTCTCTTTCCCTGTCTGGGAGGTCACTCCTGCTCAGGCTACTTGTGGAGGCACAGCCCCTAGGTTGTCCCAGAGCTGCTGAGAGGTGGCAGTTCAGGCAGGAGAGGATTGGGCCTGTACAGGGGTGGGGCAGACCTGGCCCAGGCATCTCTGAGAGGTGCTGGTCCATGGCTCAGGCCATACTTGCTGTTTTACTTCTAGGACAGGTCCCGGAAGAAGAGGCCAGTCAGAATGGACAGAACCAGGGCCTGCCCAAGGCTGTGTGCATGAACGGCACGGAGTCAGCACAGCTGAACACCAAACCCAAGGTGGAGTGCCGGGCTGGGGCCCCCAACCCTGCCCGCAGGGCCTACTCCACCAGCAGCAAGATCCGCCGGCTGTCAGCTTGCAAACAACAGTGAGGGTGGCTGCTTGCAGGTGGGACATAACAAGGGCTGTGGAGATACCACCTGAATGCCATAAGCCAGCTGTGGGCACTGCCAATACTCAGCTGAGCCACAGGCAGTGACCACTCACTCAAGGTGGCCACTGATGGGAGCATTGTCACCCTGTAGTTCTTGGGTTGCTGAGCTGTCCTGGGGTCACATCCAGTTCCCCTGTTCATAGTGCCTGGTCTGGGGCCAGCATGTTGGTGAAAGAGGACTGTGTAGCCCTGTGGTAGGACTTTGCTCATGGCAGCCCATGTTAGGCAGTGTCTGGAGTGAGGTGGAGGGGGTCACTTTCCACAGGACATGGGCTCCCTGTTGGCTCAGAGCCATGACAGGCTGCCTCACAGGAGTGGGTACAGCTCAGAGGACCCCACCCAGCTGTACCAGCTCCTGTGCTGGGCCCAGCCATCACCTGTCTACACCTCAGGCTGCTCCTGGGAAAGAGTTATATACTAGATTTGGCCCAGAGGCTTTGAGGCATCTGCCTAGGTGGGTAGTGGGGAAAGCCCAGGGAAGCAGGGCCTGGTTGCTGAGAGCTCCAGGCCGTCTGCAAGGGCCTGGCTGAGGCTGAGGCTGAGTCACCCTGGATGCTGCTCAGGTTCTACCCAAGCACTTCCTTCTGCTGTGGCCTGTCCCACCCTAGCGTGGGGAGTAGGTAGGCACCAGGGATGTTGGGAGACCCTGTCACCTGCTGAGGATGTGGGTGGGGTGAGTGCTTCAGCCAGTAGGCCCTACCTGGCCACATCCCTTCCCCCAGGGTCACTGAGTCATATGGCTGCCCATAGCACCTATCTGCCAGCATCAGAACCAGCCAGGCTGGGTAGAAAGTCACTTGAGGGAGGTACCCTGGCCCTGCTGCAAGAAGCTGCACTTAGTTTCTTTGGGAGTGGCTCAAGGGGTGGTTTACACTGGTGCCTCCCTCCAGTAAGGGCCCAGCCGGCCTATCGGCAAGGCCTACCTTTCAGGGATGCAGTGGTCCAAGTGCCCGGAGTGACCCACCCTTCCTCCTCCCTCACCTGCAGCCTGTCTACAGGAGCCCCCACAGGTGCCAGGGCCTGGCCCACCTCAGTCTTCCTGCTGACTTCGGCCTGCTGCCCACCCAGAAGGTCACCAAGCCTCTGTGTTGACAGGCCCTCAGGAGTCAGGAACATCCTGGAGGGCCAGGTGGGGACAGCAGGAACTGGGCCAGCCCTCCCCTCAGCCACCTGCACACAGCACTGGTCGACAGCAGGCTCAACGGTGGACTTTGCAATCTTGTGCACCCTTCCCAGGCAGGGAGGAGAGGCCCAGCCTACGCAAAGCACTTTACGTTTAGACTACTGGCTCTCTGCTGCCCCTTCTGGTCTGTCTCACTGCTATGCTAGGGCTCCACACCTAGTGACCATGGCCAGAGAAGCCGATATGGAGACCTACTACCACCATGCATGCAGAACCGCCCAGACGGAGCCAAATGGCTACCTTGTTTTTGTTGTTTGGTTGGTTCCTTTTTTTTTTTTTTTTTTTAAGAAAAAATAAAACAGGTGGATTTGAGCTGTGGTTGTGAGGGGTATTTGGGAATTGCTGGGTGGCAGGAGGGGCAGTCAGGTCGGGGACCCCAGTCTCCTATGCATGGGCTGGCCTAGGGCCTTCTATGGAGGATGTGCGGGTCTTGCTGGTGGTGGATAGTGGACTCAGGCTGGAGGCATGAGGCAGCTGCGTCTCATGCCTCCCTCCTGATGGGCCTCCATGCTAGGACAGGTAAAGCAGGTGTGCACATCCCTTGAGGCCTTCCGTGGTCTCCAAGCAGCCAGGGCCTGATAGTGGGACTCCAGGCCCTTTCTCCCCCAAGGCCACAGAGATCTTGGATCCCCAGTTGAAACCTGAAGTAAACAAGGGTATACAGTAAATATTTATAATTAATCAGAAAACAAAAACAACAGGAAATTCCATTATTAGATGGTACACACTGGGCACGAAGCGTCCAGGGTGGGACGGCGACGCAGGCGAGGGTGAGCCCCTTTTTTGGCAATAAATAAAGCTTGGGAAACTTGACGCCTTGGCCGTGTGAGTTTTGTTCATGTTTCAAATACCAAGGAGTTCTGGTGACTCCTTTGACCGTGAGGTGGAGAGGCGTCAAGCACATGCGGGACGGCAGGGGTGCGACTGGGACGGCGGGAGGTGCGTCCAGGCCTAGTCAGCGGCGGGCGCGGTTATTGCTAGGAAGGGGTGCGGGCTGCCGCAGGCACAGGCCGTGGTGAGGTAAACGGCTTCGGGAGCCTCAAGCCAACCTCCCGACCCGGGGCGGCCCAGCACTCCTGCCGTGGGGACACGCTCAAGTGCCTCGCGATAGCCTGCCCTGTGCACGCGCCTGAGAAGCGAATGCCTCCGCCTAAGGGACGCCATGAGGGCAGTAGGGCGCTGTCCTGAGGAGCTTCCGGGCGAGGACCTGTTTCTCTCTCCTTCCCAGCCAGGGCTCTGGAGCGCCAGCGCCTCAGGATACCTTGGGAAACCGACGAGGCGCTCACAGGGGGCTGTGTGCGTGCGCTCTGGAGATGCACTAGAGAGTACGTAACCAAGTGCGTGAGCGCCAGGACACCGCGCCTTCACGTGTTTCCCGCCACTGAGTCCCCGCGCAGCGTCAGAGAAGCTGCCAAGAGGTGAGCTCCGGGCGCGGGGCTTAGACTGGGCTGTGGTCTGGGGACGTAGGGGCGGCGGCGACCAGCGCGGCAGCCACGGCAACGGGTTCAGCGAGGCGAAGCGGAAAGAGTCTCTCTTCGAAGCCGGCCGACAACTTGTCCAGCAGCGCCCCAGAAGGCTCGACGCACAGGCCGGAGCCCGAGCAGCCCCCACCACCGGGCTCCTCCTCAATGACAGAGATAGCGGAGTCGTCGCCGGCAAGCACACGGCCCTCGGGTGGACCATCCACGCTGTCGCCACGGCGCAAGGGCGCACGCGGTAGGCGGGCCGCGCCTGGAGCCGAGACTGTGGTCGGGGCGGCACGTGCGCCAGGATCGCTGTGCTGCCGTCCGCGCTGCCACTGCTTGCGCGCGTGCGGGTGTGCGCGTGCGCGGTGACGCGCGGTGGCAAGTGGCGCGTCGTCGAAGTGAGGGTCGTGGCGCAGGAACTCATGGAAGAGTGCATCAGTCTTCTCATCAATGCTGTAGTCTCGGCGTGGGCGACGGGGCCAGGCACGCGGACTACGGGGCCTTACAGGCACAGCGAGCGCCTCAGCATCGTCTCCCCCACCACGGCCCTCGATACTGGCGTAGCCGCTGTCCATCTGCAGCAGTCGGCGCGCCTCGCCATCCTTGGGCCGTGGTGCGGGCGGCGAGGGCGGTGGAAACGCGGGTGGCGCGCCCCCCGAGCCCGAGCTGTCACCGCTGCGCACCGAGTCGCGGTCGTTGCCGCTGCTGCTATGGTCAGAGGCAGCCGCGTGCAGCTCAAGCGAGGCACGCAGGCTCCACAGGTCGCGGTAGCTGGTCTGGGCCTGGTCGGGACCCGCGTCCCGCTCGGTGTCGGGTTCCTGTTGTCCTTGCTGCGGCTGCTGATGCTGTGGCCCCGCACCGCCACTGCGCTCTGGGGAGGATTCGGGGCTCACTCCTCCCACCGCCTCAGCCGCCTTTAGCCTGCAAGCCAGGCCATGGCCATCAGAGCCCTGCTGAGCTCCGTGCTCCCTTCTCGGCTGACCACCCCCGGCTCTGGGTTAGGGAGGGTGAGCGCAGGTGGAACCCTTGGGCCTCATCTGAGCCCATGAGATGAATGCTGCCCGTTTTACACCGGGATGCTTTTTGGTAACCCTGGGCGGCGTCACCTGCATTTTAACTAGAGTGTCTCTTAATGTCTAATCCAGGTACCCGCTAAAACTGCAGATCCCCAACCCTCAGGGAAACAGCGCCCTGGGGGAGAGGTAACACTCCCAGGGCTGAGGGAGGTCACCTTCTCCCCAGCCTCATTTTTTTTTTTTTTTTTTGAGACGGAGCCTCAAGCTATCCCCCTGGGTAGAGTGCCATGGCATCACGCTCACAGCAACCTCCAACTCCTGGGCTCAAGCGAGTCTCCTGCCTCAGCCTCCCAAGTAGCTGGGACCACAGGCGCCCGCCACAACGCCTGGCCATTTTTTGGTAGCAGCCGTCATTGTTGTTTGGCGGGCCGGGCTGGGGATTGGAACCCGCCACCTTAGGTGTATGTGGCTGGCGCCTTAGCCGCTTGAGCCACAGGCGCCGAGCCCTCCCCAGCCTCTTAATGGAGATAGGAGCAGTACAGGATAAGCAGACCAGGTTGAGTCTAGCTCAGCCCCTACTCCAGGGCAGGTAGGACTCTTCACCTACCCATCATGGAAAAGGGATTCAAGGATGACACACAAAAGCAAGGACTGTTTCCCGAGACCAGGAGCTGCCCAAGGAACCCTACTTTGTTCTTGGGGTCTCATCCCTCATCCCACTCATGTGGGCCCTGGAGATTGTGAGAGCAGATACAGCTGGCAAAATTGATCCTAACAGTGTCTGAGAAGGGACTGCCCAGGCCTCAGGAGCAGAGATAGGTGGGAAAAGCCCTTAAAGCTTTGGACTCTATCAGGAAGTGGCAGTACCAGGCTGGGTATGTATCTCTGAGGGCACTGCCTGGGCAGGTGGTATCTTGTATTGGGGAACTTGGAGCCATCATCTGGGGCCCCCCACCACCCTCCTACCCTTACCCAATCTCTCCCTGTTTCCCTCCTCTGGTCCATGCTGCAGAGATGGCCCCAGTGAGTCAGCCTCTGGGAGGGGCCTTGCTGCTGGAGGGAAGTGAATTCGTATCCACAGGGTTGGGAGAGTGCTCCCTAGGTCGCCTAGGGTGGGGCGGAGCGGAGCAGGGGCCCACAGGTCCACCCCTAGCACCTCTATCTACTGAAAAATACCTGCCGAGAGAGGGGGGCGGGCTGGTGGGGCTGGCCAGAAAGGGGCGGGGGGGCGGGAAGGCCACTGCGTCGCCTGCACGGGCAATGTACTGGATGAAGTCCGTGTGGGGGGTGTCCCCCTCCTGCTCCATGCTCTCACTGGCTGCCCGCTGCCGCTGGAAGTGATGCCGCTTGGGGGAACCTATACAGGGGAAGGCTTGTCAGCCTGTGTGTCCCACCACACACACAGGGGAGTGGGCACCAAGAAGAGATTGGCTGGGACCAAAGTGTCTGGGAAAGCTAGGGTAGTCCTGAGAGAAGAGTCTCAGGTGATGGTAGTGGTCCAGGACATCCCTGGCCAAATATATAGCCCATTGAGAGGACTTTCACTGGACATCTGGTGACTGGCACAGCCAAGCTAAAAGTATAGAAGCTGGAAGGCATGGGCAAGTCAGACTGGCTGATAAGGACCAGTGAAGTGAGGAAAAGAGAATATTCTCTCCTACCAGCTCCACCTTAGCCTAGGAAGTACTGAGAAGTTGTTCCACCTTGACTCAAGGCCCTCTGGCAGGGGCCAAGACCCTCTCTTGACTAAGCCTTCTAGAGAAGCTTCAGCAGGCCTGGGGTAAGGAGAGCAGTTATCCACAGATTCTGGTTGCTACTGCAACTACATCTGACTATAGTCACTATCAGGAAACCTGGACCCATCCATCTGAAAATTTGCACACCCTCTCAGCTGAAACAGACCTTTCCCTCTCTTGGCCAGGAGCCACATTGGGAACTGGAAGAACTTAGTTCCTCCTGCACTGACTGGAGTCTACCCCCACCAGGCCCCAGTAAGGGATCTCACCATCACTCAGGATACAGCCTATCTCAGCCAGACCACACCTTCCCCTACTACTTGACCCCTTTTGCAGCCTCACTGATGATGATGTAGCCAGTGCTTCAGCAGCCTGACCTAGCCCCAAGCTCTCAGAGCTGCTCCTGCCCTGCAGAGCTCTATCAGCAGGGATGGCTATTCCCATGCTTTCTAGGCAGGGGCTGCCTCCCACTACACATGCATATACTCCCACCTTGGGCCTAGGATAAGGAACACTGGATAGGACCACACACAACTGAGGGTCTGCAGAATTGAAGGGCTGTTGTCATTTGCTCCAGTGATTTCCACACTATACCCCATAACCACTTGTTTTTGTAAAGAAAGTGACTGGCACATGGCCAGCCACACTCATTCATCACATAGTATCTACAGCTGCTTCCTCCCTCCAGCAGCAGCACTGAATATTTGACACAGACAGAGCCTGTCTGACCACAAAACCAAACAGTACCATCTGGGGCCTTATAGAAACCCTACACTGATCCATGGCTGACCTAGTCCAACTGCTTTATTGTCAGGGAATTCTGAAGCCCAGGATGGAGAAAGGACTGGGCCAGGATCACCCAACAGTTAGTGAGACTCCTGCTAGCCAACGGAGGGAAACCAGGTTGAGGCCCAGAGACTCTTTCTTATACTCACATCCTGATGGGTCAGACTGAGTAGTGCCTGTCCGAAGGGGCCAGGGCCCTGAACCTGGAGGGGAAACTGGCCAGTTGGCCTGGCCTCTGAACTCCAAAGTGACCTGGTGGCCTCAAACATATTTCCTTCTTTACTACCCTGTTGTAGATGCCCTGAACACAGCGGCAAGGCATTGGGGACCCATGGAACACCCTCTGGCATGGGGGCCTCAGGCTGCCCCTGGGCCATCCTGACCTGCTGCAGTACCTTGGACAAGATGCACACTGACAGGTCCCCCAGCATAGGCCCCACCCCAGGGAAGCACCTGGCAGGGGCCATTGCTCACCTCTGGTATCCAGACTGGCCGCCCGCTGGTTGGGCTCCAGCTTCCATCTCTTGACCTTGAAATAGGGGCTGGCCCCATCTAGGCTGGCGTGGCGGCGCAGGCGGGTGAAGAACTGTAATACAGTACCTGCCCCAGAGCCTGGGCTCACCTCCCTGGGCCCTGAAGCAGCCCCTGGGCCACCAGCCTTGGTGCTCCTGGTAGCTGCATCCAACTGGGAGGGAACAGGGACCACTTTCAGGCACAAAGACCCTGGCTGAGACCCAAGGCCTCCCACCCACCACCTGGACAGAGAAGGGCAAAGGTGGCAGGAGTGGGCAATCTGGTGGGGTGGGTGGGTTCCCCCAGACCCCGACTCTGAGAGGCTCTCCTGGGTGTTCAGCCTGGTGGGGTTTGGGGACAGAGAGATTTCCCAAGGTGAGTGGCCAGGCACTCTCCTCTCATGGCTTAGGTGGGGTCAGGGCTGGCATCTGAAAAGAAGTGGGATCCTGGGGCACCCCACACGTGTATAAGCATATGCCTGCTCTCTCTTCCTCCTCTGTGTGGAGACCAGGCAGGCAAGGATGGCTGGGGCAGATATGAGGCCAATTGAGTGCAGGCAAGGAGAGGAAGCATCCTGCCATTGACCCAACACCCTCGGGGACACACATGAGCCCCTCACCGAGGTGCCTTCCCCGGAGTCACTAGATGCTGAGGGGCTGATCTCTGCGAAGTCGGTGGTGCCTGCAGCTGAGTTGTAAGGGTCACCTGGCAGGGCGGAGCTGGGGCCCACAGAGCGGCCAGTGAGGGCCTTCCCCGGGGGCTGTGGGACAGAGCCAGTGGGGGAGGAAGCAGCAATAGGTCAAAGAGCACGGGTGGGTAAGGAGTATGCTGAGCTTGGCCTCCCACCCCAGCCACCCCAGTCCATTATACAAGGAGGGCCCCAATCCCCAGTGGAGGTCTAGAAAGGCCTGAGATCACCTCCCGCCCTGAGGCCCTGCTGGCTATCCTTCTTGCTCACCTGGAAGATGGCAAGGCTGGCCTTGGGGGTGTCAGCTGGGTGGGGAGTAGCAGTCGAGCTGGCCTCACCTGAGTCGCACTCATGGATGGTGACAATCTTCAGGGGTGGCAAGTGCAAGTGGGTGAGGCGGGCATTTTTCAGGTGATGGAAGTCCCCCTCTGTCAGGGTATACCTGCAAGGAGCCCGACTGGTCAGCGTGCCCCTTGCTCCACCCTCTAACTTGCTGAATGCCCCCAATCTACTACCCACTCTGCCCTGGGCTCCATCCACCATGGGAAATTAGTCAATGAAACAGGCCAATGCCCTCCCGTGGACCCCAGGCCTCTGCCACACCCCTCACCGACGGCCCTTGTCCTGTGTCTTGCGGCTCTGTTCAAATAGGGCCGCCTCGTTGAAGGAGACCCTGCGGCCAGTGGCGCTGGCAGACAAGAAGCGCTCCGTCTCTGTGTCCAGGCCCTCTGGGTCCTCCCCCCTGAAGTCAGGGTCTGCGTGGAGAGGCAGGAAAGGGTGGGCCCCGGGTGGGCCATGCCTGGTCCAGGCAGGCTGCTAGGCAGGTGGGACAGGGAAGGGGGTGCCCAACTGACCGCAGGGCGGACCGGGCGGCAGGGCGGGCACTCGCTCATCCGCTCACACACTCACTCGCTCAGCACGCGCCTGTGCGTTAAGGAAACAGAGATGAGTCGGAATCGAGCTGCGCCCAGTCTGGTGGGGGAGACAGACAGACACAGACAGTCAGGCAGCCCGAAGGGGCCAGCAGGTGGCCGAGGGGCAGATGGACCAGCGGGGTGGCAGGCTGGACCAGGTGCCTCACCTTGGGCTGGGTGGGTGCCATTGTCCAGGTAAGTGGTGGTGGTCTTCTCAGCTTCCTCCACAGCTCTGAGAGGACAGTAGGAGAGGCAGATGGGACAGAGCAATCAGCCAGCTCCAGGGGCCTGCTTGAACCCATCCTCAGAGATCCCTGCTTTGATAGACTGCATCCAGTGGCACCCATATGAACCCCCCTCCCGTGCACCTGCCTGGCTCTGTGTTGGGGTTCACACCTGTTGAAGCGCTGGTGTACCTCCCAGCAGCGTTTGCAGAGGAGCAGGACCCCGGACAGCACCACCAGTGTGCCACCCACAAACAGTGACATCACTACCACCAGCAGAACGTAGTTGTCCAGGATAGGGTCAGGCTCAGCCTGTGGGCCACAATCGGTGGGTAAGGTCTCTGCTGGCCTGGACTCTGACATCCCATACACCCCCCTCATCCTGCCCTTGCACCCACCGTGGGGTGGCCAGTGGTGTTGTCCCAGGATGTTGTCAGAGCCATTGTGGCAGTGGTGGCAGCGGCTGTGGCCATGGTGGCTGTGGGCTGCATCTGAGGTGGGAAGGAGGGGCCTAGAGGGACAGGATCTGCTTAGCTGCAGCTCTACCAGCTCCTTCCCACAGGAGCCACTGCAAATGAGCCCACTCCCTACAGAGGAGCAGGAGCCCATACTGCAACAACTGTAGAGGTGGGGAGAGCCCCAGAGCAGCCTCCACCCCACTCAAATCAGCCCCTGGCCAGTTAGGGCTGGGGGCCTTCTCTCTAGATCTGGAGGAGGTGGCACTTATGTATGCATGCCTGTCGCAGCCGGTGGGGCCGGCCCAGCAGGTAGCACCAGGCTAGAAGCTCTGCCCAAGAAAAGGAAAGCACCCTTTGGAGGGATGGGGAAACTGAGGCCATGCAGCTCCTTCAGGCCAGACCCCAGGTGCCTCACCCACCCCATCAGACTTTTGGGGCTGCCCCAGCCCCAAAAGACTTGTTAGCTCCTGGCAGGGCCCCAGTCATAGATGGGGTGAGGAGAGAGCCCTCTGGGCTGTTCACCCACGGGGCAGCGATGGAGGGGCTGAGGGCAGTAACCCCATCCAGGCTCTGGGAGATACAGGTCCCTCTCCAGCAAACGACAGTAGGAGTGAAAAGGACAAAGAAGGCGCATCTGTTCCCAGCCCTGAAGAATCTGGTTCCCATGGCGACCGAGCTGGAGGGGGGGAGGGCGGGTTGCCAGGGAGCAGGGAGAGAAGGGGGCGCAAGAGGGAGGCCTCCTGTGGGGGCGGCGCAGAGCGGCCCTTGGTGGCAAGATGGCCGCTGCTGCCCTCCCTGCTGTGCCCAGCCCAGGGCGTCCGGAAGCCTCACCCAGGCTCTGGCCGGCCTCTGCGTCTGCCTTGTGTGTGTGGGAAACTGAGGCCAGGGAAGGGGGCTCAGCACTCGGGAATAGGTGCCTAGAAATGGCACCTGTCCCACCCCCAACACCCAGCGCAGCCGGGTGGGAAGGACCCAGCATCTCGAGGTCCAGCAGCCCTGAGCTGGCATGGCACTGGGCTTGCGGGAGGCCCTTTCCCAGAGGAAGAGTCCACAGGCGCCAACCTCTCCAGTCCCTTAGGGCTTTCACTGCCACTGGAGAGCGGGTAATCCGAGGCCCAGAGAAGGGGAGGGTCTTAACCCAGGCCAGTTGTCCTCAGGGCTCCAGGTCAGAGACTAGCTGGGGCTTCCTTATACTGGGGGAAGAGAGCACATATGTAGGTCGGGAAATGAGTTCAGGCTGGAGGGTGTGGGGCGGAGGCACAGGACCTTAGTAGGAGACTGGGAAAAATGGCAGGAGGCTGAGGGGGAAAAGAGGTGACTCTTGGGGGAAAGCTGGTGCGGGAGCCGAGGGAGGTGGTTCCCAGGCGGCAGCCCCGAGACCCCCAGTCAGCCCCAGAACGGGGATGACAAGGGAGAGGAGAGAGAAAATCCAACATTAAGCTCAACTCAACCCCGGACTAAGCCGGGAGGCCAAGACGCCATCGCCTTTGCCCGATGTTACAGGGGAAACTGAGGCCTGAAAAAAGCGTGGGCGGGGTTTCCACTTAAGGAGGTCGGGCTGGGGGCCCAGCATTTGGGCCCCTCTGCCTGCTCTGGCTCCTCCGCTCCGGCCGACTGCGCAGCCGAGTGGAGAAGAGCTGGTGGTCCGGAGCTAGGGCGGGTCCCGGGGCTGGCCGCGATACCCGGCTGCGCGGCCCCGGCCCGCACCCTACCCGCCCCGGTGCAGCCCCGGGCCCACAGCGCCTACCTCAGCGCCGGGACGCGCGGCCCATGGGCAGCGGGCGGGCGAGCGATTGCGCGACGTTCCCGGCTGGCTCCGGCACCGGGTGGCCGCGGAGCAGGCGGAGAATTTATGAATGGAGAAAGCGGCGCGCGGGGGAGGCCGGCGCTAGAGGAGTGGCCGACGCACGTGACCGTGTTGGAGGCGCGCCCGTTCGGTGCGCCCGGTGCCGACTGATCCCTGGCCACCCGCCCCCGCCGCGGTAGTCGTTGGGTCTGGCTCTTTCGGCGCTGGCCACAGCCTCCCCTTCCCTTCCGGCAGGGGCGGGGGGCGGAGCCTGAGCTCCCGGGCTCTCTGCTCGGCACACGGAGCCGGCCCCCTCCCTCTGCGGCCGAGTCCCCGCCCCCAGCCCCTCGGCACGACTCACCTAACCCAGGTCACCAAGAACCAGCTGTTAAGGCGGGGAGTTCCTTGGGACGCATGATTACTGCCTGCCTCTCTCCTCAGATTTTGAAATGCACCTTAAAGATTTCTCAGGGTGCATGGACTGCCCTTCTTGCTTTCCCCATGAGGGTATGGAGGAAGATTCAGAGGGAAGGCTTTTGCCCTCAGGCCAGGGGACCTGGACACGCACCCCGATGTGTGTCCCCCTGCTGTAGTGCCCCGTCACGTCTCGCTTGCCTCCTCTCCTCCTGTTGAGGGACAGGAAATGAGCAAAGGACAGCAGATACTCAAAGCCGTACTGAGTGCCACACGGGCCTAAACGAGCCCACAGATGCCTGCTCCTGGTGAGATGACGTTGAGAGTATACCAGGAGTCAACCTTGACTTCCTCTTACACATTCCAGCCCTATTTGGTCCAGTTTTCAACACCCTGCAACGGCATCTCTTTCTCATCCAGAAAGTGTGGCACGCACAGGCAACCTCAGGGCCTGTGCTTTGGAAGGTGCCTAGCATGGATGGCTCCCTGTCCATTCAACCTAAAGACACCATACCACCACCTCCTTCAACTTTTTACTAAGCATCAAAGTCTCAGCATGCCTCTCCGCCTCCTTTTGGGTACAAATGTCACACCTCCCACCCCCCATTTCTCATCCCCTACCTGACTTTCTCTCCTGGAATATTTTACTTGCTCTTGTCCCATGCCTGGCACAGTACAAGGCCTGGGCAAGCGGTGGTAGCCCTAGGGAAGCTGGCTCTGAACCAGTGGGAACCCCACGGACAGAGGCCTGAAATAAAATGGTGTTTGCAGAGCATCCCCATGTAGGAAGGAGCAGGACACCATCTTGTGGGAACAACATGGTCGGGTCCAGTTTTCTAAAAGGAGACTCTCTGGCTGTGTAGAAGATACCTGTGGTGAGACACGGAGGAGGCCAGGGCTATCCAGGAAGAAGATGGTGGCCACAGTGGCCATACAGCATTAACTGGCCAGAACAGGTGGAATTCCAGAATAACCCTCAGCCTTCATCCCAGAATGGGGATTGGAGAGCTGTCCAGTAGATAGGTTTGAGGTGCCCACTGGGCCTCCCAGCTTCCTAGAGTGGCAGCCAAATGTGGGGTCAGAGGTTGGGGGTGCTGTACAGGACACTCCTAAAAAAAGTGAGCAGGGTTTCTTTGACACGACCATTAACCCCCAAAGCCAGAATGACTCACTCCCCGACCCCCAGTGCCCTTCGCAGCGCAGGCCTAGGAAGGATCCAAGCCCCAGCCTCCATCCTCAGGTGCACAGAGCCTAGGGGCAGAACGCTGGCCAGTGTGCAAACCTGGACCCAGGCAGGAAGCAAGGTGCAGCCTCCAGTGTGAGAGCCCTGGGAGGTGTCAGACTCACCCCCATAGGGTCTCACTGGCCATCAGCCCCAGTCCCCGGCCAGCTGTGACCGCGACTCTCCCCTGCACCCTGCACACCTGGGCTCCAGCCCTTTGCACTGTCTCTCAAGGTCCTTCTCAGAGCGCGCCCCATCCCCGCCAGCAAGGACTCCTCCTTCTCCCCGGAACCCAGAGTGTGTGTGCGGGGGCGACGCTGGCGGGCCGGCTGGGGCCGTGAACATGCGTGAGCGCGGGGGTGGGGTGGTGACGTCATGGCCGCGAGCGAGGCTGCGCAAGTTGCGGCTGACGTCAGCGGAGCACTGCACAGCCAGCGCCCGCGGTCCTGCGTCAGAGGAGCGCGGAGGCGAGGGCCAGCCAAGGGCCGGCTGGGGGCGGTGAGCACATCTTCGGGCTCCGGGCGCCCTCTGCCGGCATCGTGGAGCCCTCCCATGCCGTCCTGCGCCTCTCTCTGCTAGGGCTGTTCCGCCTAGAACGCCGTTTCTCAGCGCACCTGCCCCATCCCCTCTTACTGGTCTCACTTTTTTTTTTTTGGCATTTGTCACCACCTAATACGCTACACGATCTGCTCATTATGTGACATGTTGGCTTAAAGCTCCCCTCTCCAAATCCAGAGCAGGAACCTAGATATGTCCCTGATGACTCTCTAGCGCCTGGCATCCAAAGGGCGCCCCCAAAGTCGCGAACTACACTGGAGTGCAAGCGTTTCAGCTTCGCTACGCTGCTGGTCCTCCCCTCCGCCCCACCTTCCCCCAGCAGAACCGTCTCACCGCTCCAGCCTGACCCCGGGTCCTTTCCCGGAAGGAAACTACAACCCCCAGAATGCCTAGCGCCCCGGCGGTGCGTTAGCGTTGACGTCTCGTGCTACCCGCCGGGGGATCGTAGTTTGCGCGTGCGCCCTCGCCGAGACTTCTCCTCCCAAACGTCCCTGAGAGTTGTCCTCCTTGCCCTACGGTTTGCCCGCGTCCTGCCGGGGTCTGCAGTCCGCTCGCCTCCTGCCGTTGCCATGTTGCTCTCCGTTTTGCTCCGTAGGCCGGTCCTGGGCCGCCTCGTGCGCCAGGCTCGTGCTTACGCCGAGGCCGCCGCCGCCCCAGCCCCCGCCGCCGGTCCGGGCCAGATGTCCTTTATCTTCGCCTCCCCTACGCAGGTTCGGACACTACGGGTCGCCATCCCTAGGCTCCGCGCGCCTACTCCTCGTACGGTCTAGCAGGCGAGACCCTCTCAGCCCGTGGAATCTTGGCTCCCTGCCCTGGTTCCCCAGCTCTCTTTCTAGCTTGGTGAGAAGCCCAAGTCTCCTCCCCCCATTCCCCGGAACCTGTACACAGAGGGCCTCATGTGCCCCTCCGGCCAAGCCTTCGAAGTAAGCGCCTCCCGGGCGTGTGCTCTTCCGATGTCTCCCTAGCATTCCCATTTTGTAGACGAGCAAAATAAGGCGCAGCTGTCCCAGCTCCAAAACTGAAGCATCAGCCCCCAGCATTGGGCTGGCTCGATGCCTCTCTTAGCCCTCATCATCATCTGCGCGAGGTCCTGCTCTGACCCATTTCACTGAAGTACTGAAAATTGAGTCTCTGTGGCGGTGGGGTTGGCCTGCAGCAACAGGATTCCTCGTCCTCTTGTCTCCAGGTATTCTTCAATGGTGCCAACGTCCGGCAGGTGGACGTGCCCACGCTGACCGGAGCCTTTGGTATCCTGGCTGCCCATGTGCCCACTCTGCAGGTTCTACGCCCGGGGCTGGTCATAGTTCACGCAGAGGATGGCACCACTTCTAAGTACTTTGGTAAGTCCAGTAGAGGGTGTAACTGAGCCATTACTGCACGTCCCAGCAGGTCAGTCTCCATCTCAGTTGGGCCTGTGAGAAAAGTAAAGTTTGAGAGACTTATCTTCTATACAGCTTGTAAGCATCCAAGATGTAACGGTAGGTAAACAAGGCAAGGCCTTGTTCTCACCCAGCTTATGACTGGCTGTGAATTAACCAATGTGTGATGGGTCTGGGGTGATAGGTAAACACTAGGAGGAGAAGCTAAGCGAGGTTGGAGGGCTGGTGCAGTGGCTTATGCCTGTAATCCTAACACTTTGGTAGGCTGAAGCAGCAGGATCCAGCCTGGGCAACATAGCAAGATTCTACTGAAAACAGAAAAATTAGTTGGGCATGGTGGCTCACATCTGTAGTCCCAGGTGCTGGGGAGACTGAGGTGGGAGGATCTTTTGAGCCTGGGAGTTCAAGGTTACAGTGATGATACCACTGCACTCCAGCCTGGACGACAGAATAAGACCCTATCAGAAAAAAAATTAGGTAATGAGTGCAGTGCCTCACACCTATCTTGGCACTCGGGAGGCTGAGGTGGGAGGATTCCTTGAGCTCAAATTTGAGAGCTGTCTGAGCAAGAGCAAAACACCCTGTCTACTAAAAATAGAAAAATCTAACAGGGCATGGTGGTGTGTGTCTGTAGTCCTAGCTACTCAGAAGGCTGAGGCAGGAGTATTGCTTGAGCCTGTGGGTTTGAGGTTGTTTCGAGCTAGGCTGGTGCTACAGCATTCTAGCCTGGGCAACAGAGTGACATTTTTTCTCTCAAAAAAAAAAAAAAAAATCCAAAACTTGGCTTGGC